TATGACACAGGGCAATCGAAGCTCCGGTACTCACCTGGGCTTCAAACATATCGATCTCCGGTGCAGATCGCCCCACATAGGTGCCATCCTTGTGAACTGGTCCCGGGTGAGGCTCTCCGGGACAGGTGCAGCGAGACAGTTTTTGCCCTGGAAGATAGGATAGAGCGAAATCATAATCCTTTGTGCCCGTATTGGTAGCCGCGATAGGGAGCCCATTGAGGGTCTGGTTCGCTACGGTACCGACGTCGCAAGTATCGTAAGTATACGGCCACTACAATGCGTGTTAGTGAACAAGTGTCCAGCAGAGTAGGTGCGCTGCACACACCATTCCCTCAAGACTAGCACCGTATCCAGCACGGCCAAGATTGCCCATTGTCCAAATGGCAGGCCAGAGTCCGAGTACGTTGTTGGTGCCGGGAAGAACGACAGAGGCAAGGATCAAACCGCCGGTGAAGCAGAACTTGTTCCAGGTCGACATCATCCCGCCCATGAAGTGCAAGTCGTGGATTTCGCGTCGACTGAGGGTGATTTCGAGGGAACCATTCCTTGTAGTGATCGCGGACGGGTCGTACCACTCCATGTTGTTTGTTTGCCAGTAATGGAGGTCGACAGCCTCCCAATACGGGTCGTCACCAGGGTAGAAAGAGCGCCCTTCTTCATTGAACTCGTCCGAGAAGACCAGCTGCCACTCTTTGCCGGACTCGAAGTCGGTATATGTTCGAGCGTCAGCCGGTGTTTCCACATCGATGAGACCATAGTTGCCAATGGATGGTAGTTGGCCAGAAGCGTTGATCCCGCCTATATTGAACCCTCCGTTGGTTGACAAGGGCGTCCTGGTGAAGTACGTGATGAGGGGAAACCCGGCGCTGGGCGTCCTCATGTTCAACCAAACACTCGTTGAAACGAAGACGCCAGACACTCACAATAGGGTAAGTATCCCAGCGCAAAGAACAAACAGGCAGCCGAGGTTCGCAAGCCCCCTCATGGTGAAGATATTGCCACCCTTGTCGCTATTACGGTCTCTCCGGGGATCTGGATTGTGGAGGTAGTCGTCGTTCTCGGGGTGATCTATCCCCAAATTGGCGCCCCATGAAGCAGGGTCCGGAGAGAGGGAATACTGAGGAGGAGGGCTCTCGCGACGCGTCTTCGTCTGAGGCAAGATAACATACCTTGTCCGAGAGCGATGGAGGCATGGAAGACATCTTCACAGACCCATATCGAGACTCGTTCTGCCGTCGAGTAAGAGCTGTGCACAGGCCAGTCAAGCGTAGCAACGGGACGTATACTCACGAGCGATGCCTCGCTGGCCATGGTGCGAAGGCGGGGGTCCCCTTGCACGCTCGGCATGTTCGGACTGAGGAGACTGGTCGTGGAGGGCGTGTCGGATTGGACGTATGGGTTCTGACGCATGGCGGACGCCATCGCGAGCTGTGGGGGCGACGAGACACTGGGAGGTTAAGTCGAAAGCAGTGAGCGACAGACGGGTGCTGGGAGAAGAGAGAAAAAGAGACGGGCGGGCTGAGGGGGACGGGAGGCAAAGAGCGGAGGGTGGGCGAGATGGAGAGCGAAGCTGGGGGCACTGAGAACGTCTTCGCTGCGTCGAGCACAACGGCGGCTTTGGAACCGACGCTCGCTTACGTCACCCGTCCAATCCCAGTCCGCCCAAAAATAGCTCGACAGCGGGCACATCGCAACGTCTTGTTCTGTTCTTCCTGCCTCCCGGGCGCGGTCCGCCCTCGGTCCTTGCACGCGTGCGTCGTCGCATCGCACACAGGGACGGGACGGGACCTGCTCCTCATGCCAGTCACACATGCGCACCGCCACTCGCAGCATCTTCAAGCATGCATAAATCCAACGGTCGGTGCGTATGAGATAGGTACAAATCTGTGTGGGAAGACAGCATGAGTACCGCAGCCAGGCGGTTGCATCCAGTGGAGCAGCGCTGTCACTTACGAACGAGCACAGCAACGATCGCGTGAGCGCAACTAGGGAATATGTATCGTAAAATGTACGGGTAACAGGCTCTAGCACTGTCCGAGGTACTTGTTCCGAGGGAACGGCTGCTTGTAGTCGTCCACCCACGTCGTCAGGTTCGGGTTGGTATATGCCTCGATGTACCTGTGCACGCCGACATCAGTAAGCACAACCGCACGCGGTGCATTCTATGGACAACGCACTCCTCGATGTAAGCCTTGGTCGGGAAGTCCGGAGGGTCACAGCCGAGGTTGATGTTGTTGGGGTCTTGGTACACACGAACCCAATCCACCTTCATGAGGGCCGGGAATACCAGGTGCTCGTAGTCGACGAATCCGAAGTTCTCCGACAGACCCAAGTTCATGATGATGTACTAAAACGTTTCCCGTCAGCTTCCTACGTCAGAGCAAAACAAGAGTCATGCGGACCATCGGCTCCTGAGGCACTGGCCGTGCACTGATCTCCGCGATGGGGTCAGGGCCCATACCAGCGGCCTGGATGGTCCATGCAAGGACGCCATCGTTGATCCATGAAATGTACTGCAAACGAGACATGAGCTCCTGGCTTCCAAGACGATCGTCGCTGGACATACCGCATCACCGAAGCCTGGCTTGTACTGGAAGCCGTACACGGAGAACTCGCCCCCGTTGAACTGGTACGCCGATTGCTCTAGCCGGAGATCAGCACTAAGCTCGTAACGGCAGCTCATCCCAGTACGCACTCGTCAACGAGACAACGGACGTAGCTTGCTGGAACACGCCTCCCTTGTAGCCGTTGAGCAAGCTCGCGGTGTCGTTTGCAATGAACAGGTTCTCCGGCGTTTCAATCCAAGTGTATTGGTAGTTGAAGGGCTGGGGGACGGTGTGAGTCTCTCACTGCGCTTGTGAGCACGAGCATCTTTGGATACATACCGCCCATTGTCCAGACTGTGAGACCGCACCAACCCTTCCTTCGCCGACACCACCAATCTACAGAAGAAAACCTGGTCAGTTCGATGCTGCGGCTCGGATGTTGGAGACATACCTGCGCTTCAAACACATCAATTTCCGGGGCGGAACGACCGACATACTCCCCGTTCTCGTGCACGGGACCGGGGTGGGACTCGCCAGGACATGTGCAGCGAGACAACCTCTGACCAGGGAGGAAAGACAACGCGCCACCGTTGCCTTTATCGTTGTCTCTTGTAGCGGCTATGGGTAGGCCGTTCAGAGTTTGGTTCTTGAGTGTACCGACATCGCAAGCGTCGTAAGTGTACGGCCACTGGTGGATGGAAGACGAAGTTAGCCACGGCCACGTGTGATACAATATGGCGCACATACCATTCCTTCAAGCGAGGCACCGTACCCCGCGCGACCCAGATTACCCATCGCCCAGACGGCAGGCCACAAACCCTCGATGTTATTGAAACCGGGGAGCATGACGGATGCTTCGAGAATGCCTCCGGTGAAGCAGAACTTGTTCCAAGTCGACATCATACCGCCGGTGTACTCAAGATCGTGGCTGGGTTTGTCTATCAGGGTGATTTCCAAGGAACCGTTGCGCGTGGTGATCTGCCCCGGGTCATACCACTCCTTGTTGTTCGTTCCCCAGTAGTGCAAGTCGACCGCTTCCCAGTACGGGTCATCACCAGGGTAGAACGAGCGACCGTCGACGTTGAACTCGTCGCTGAACACGAGCTGCCAGGTCTGGCCAAACACGTAGTCGGTCTTAGTGTGGAATTCGAGCGGGGTGTCCTTGTCGATGAGGCCCCAATTGCCCGGAATGTCGGGAACCTGGCCGCTGGCGTTGATGCCGCCGAAGTTGAAGCCGCCCATGAAGGACGGCTCTTCCTTTGTGAAGTAGGTAATCAACGGGTATCCAGCGCTACGCAGCAATTCAGTCGGTGATGAGCAGGAAGTGGAGCGATGTGGCGGCCACGTACAACAGCGTCAAGATGCCCATGGTCAAGATGAAGATGCATCCAAGGTTCATGAACCCACGTCCGGTCAAGATGTGTCCACCCTTGTCGTTCTTGCGGTCCCGCAGCGGATCAGGGTTGTGCAGCTTGTCGTCGGCCTCTGGACCATTGAGGTCGGCCGGATCGAGAGGAAGGACATACTACGCCGCAATGCAGGCATGAGGGGGAAAGTTGGAAGGCAAGCAGTAGCGACTACAACTCACTTTGTCTGATATAGAGTTGGGGACATGGGTTGATGCGGTGTTCTGTGTCCGTGTCAATACTACTCACATGTACATCAAACCGTAGCAAGGCATGGGACTGACCATGGAAGTCGTGCTCGGTGATGGGCGTAGGCCGCGCGAGAACGCAGGTCTCACTTCCTCATGCTGGGAGGAGAGGAGTGAGGTGGTAGAGGGAGCGGCGGATTGGTAGTAGCGAGGTTGGCCCGATCCCTGATGGGCCATGCTAGCTGGGCGAGTCTAATAGCGGTGGAGAAAGGACAGGACCGGGACTGCGAGGCGTGGTGGTAATACAGAGAGAAGAGAGTTGTAGAGTGCGATGCCGCTTGGCGGGATAGACCTGGAGTCGGGTGTCTTGGGAACTCCGGTCCAATGGGCACGCCGCATGATCGCCAAGAGTCTCGGTCTGCGTCCTCCGCTTCAACCGCGTAGAATTTCCAAACTCGTCTAAGGATGCCGCTCTGAACGCGAATGATGAGCGCACCCAGAGCGCACGCCTCTGCTTCCGATGCGACGTCGAATGTCCGCCGACGTGCACCGTTAGGGCGCACTGTTTCGCGCGGTAGTCCTATGCGGACGTGCTCTTCAGTGCCTACTAGTATGATCAGGTACCACTGCGGCTGTGTGGTCTAGAAAGATATGTTGACCCACGTGCACGTCACCACATTCCGCGCTCTACAGAATGAACCTAGTAGGATTGTTAGATGTTCGTGAAACATGTTGTATGGAGACAGATGCGGCGCATGGGCACTTCGCAACTGGGAAGAACAAGAAGCCGACATGAGCCTTGGCACGGCTGTTGAATGGGGGAAGCTACGGCAGATGTCAATCAGGCGTTGAGCGGTTAATCCCGCTTAGCTCAGTGGTAGAGCGCATCACTAGTACCGGTCACGTGACTGAAAGGGCTATGATGAGGTCAGTTGTTCGAATCAGCTAGTGGGAAGTTTTTATACCGTTGAAATGAGATGGCCCTCTCGCCATCCTGGCAAAGCTCTCTCATGTTTGACACCACAAACGAGGAAGGTGGTGGCTCACTGTCATGTACGATAGAGTAATGCAGCAATCGAACAGCGGAAACTATGTGACAAGCTTATATACGTACTCTAACACTGTCCCAGGAACTTGTTCCGCGGGAATGGCTGCTTGTAATCATCCACCCATGTCGTCAAGTTCGGGTTGGTGTACGCTTCTATGTACCTGTAGTCGACCATGTCAGTGTTACACTTCGGACTCGGACAGTAAGGGAGAGAGGACGTACTCCTCAATGTAGGCCTTCGTCGGGAAGTCCGGAGGATCACATCCAATGTTGATGTTGTTCGGATCTTGGTAGACGCGGACCCAGTCAACTTTCATGTGAGCGGGGAACACCAGGTTCTCGTAGTCGACGAATCCGAAGTTCTCCGATAGACCCAGGTTGACAATCATATACTGCAAGTAGATATCGTGTCAGTTCTATGAGGCACTTGGGATGGTCTGAGGGTCACTGACCAATGGCTCTTGCGGAACGGGTCGCGCACTGATTTGCGCAATCGGATCGGGGCCCATTCCTGCCGCTTGGATCGTCCACGCCACCACGCCGTCGTTGATCCAAGTAATGTACTGCAGGCAGAGCATGAGCTCTAATACAGTCAATCGCGCGAGCACGGGCTTACCGCGTCACCAAACCCTGGCTTATACTGGAAGCCGTATACAGCAAACTCGCCGCCGTTCAACTCGTACGCGCTTTGTTCTGTACAACGGTGAGCATGTATCGTACACAGCTAATGACTCAGATGACGTACTCGTCAAGGAGACCACGGAGGTAGCTTGCTGCCAGACACCACCCTTGTAGGTGTTGAGAAGGCTTATGGACTCGTTCGCGATGTAGAGGTTCTCCGGGGTCTCGATCCAAGTGTACTTGTAGTTGAACGGCTAAGCGAAGCACTCCGTTAGTGTTTCGTGAGACCATAGAACGGAATGGCACGAGACATACCGCCCACTGGCCGGACTGCGAAACGGCACCGACAGGCCCTTCGCCGACACCGCCGATCTAGAGACATGGATCAGTGAGGATTGACACGGCATACCCAGCTTCCGAGCGTACCTGTGCTTCGAACACGTCGATTTCCGGCGCAGAACGACCGACGTACTCGCCGTTTTCGTGCACGGGACCGGGATGTGACTCGCCCGGGCAGGTGCAGCGAGACAGTCGTTGACCTGGAAGATACGACAACGAACCGCCGTAGTGCTTGTCGTTACCGATGGTCGCCTCCACTGGTATGCCGCCGCGGGTCTGGTTCTTCACTGTGCCGACATCACAAGCATCATAGGTATACGGCCACTGAGCGACGACAACGCAGCATGAGCGGCCATCTTTTGATGACAATGATAGAGGACGCACCATTCCCTCCAAAGACGCACCGTATCCAGCGCGACCGAGGTTACCCATCGCCCACAGGGCGGGCCAAAGTCCGTGAATGTTGTTCGCACCGGGGAGCATAACGGACGCCTCGAAGATACCGCCAGTGAAACAGAACTTGTTCCAACTCGACATCATGCCGCCGGTATAGTTCACTCCATGGTTGAACTTCTCTTCGAGGGTAATGTCAAGGTAGCCGTCGCGTGTGGTGATCTGTGCAGGGTCGTACCACTCCTTGTTGTTTGTCCCCCAGTAGTGCAAATCGACCGCTTCCCAGTACGGGTCGTCACCAGGGTAGAACGTTCGACCGTCGACGTTGAACTCGTCGCTGAACACGAGTTGCCAAGTCTGGCCAAACACGTAGTCGGTCTTCGTGTGGAATTCTAGCGGGGTATCCTTGTCGATAAGACCCCAGTTGCCTGGAATATCGGGTATCTGGCCACTGGCGTTGATACCACCGAAGTTGAAGCCGCCCATGAAGGAGGCCTCGGACTTGGTGAAGTACGTGATCAGCGGGTATCCGGCGCTAAGCGCCGTTTGTTTAGTCGGCATCGGAACGTGGAGAGTGATTTGACGAGCACGCACAACAGAGTCAAAATCCCAGCCGTCAACAAGAAGATACACCCAAGGTTCATAAACCCTCGCCCAGTCAGGATGTGACCGCCCTTGTCCCCTTTGCGGTCGCGGAGCGGATCGGGATTGTGCAGGCTGTCGTCCGCCTCCGGACCATTAAGGACGGAGGGGTCTAGAGGAAGATCATACTGCAGGAGAACGCACGTGTGTGAGACCCGAAGGCAGGAATTCGAAGTCAACGTAGAGGCGGTGACCTACTTTGCCTGAAATTGAATGGGGAATGGAGGCTTCGGAGGCGGTTTTCTGGACGGGCATTAGAACTCGCTAGAACAACGATGAAAGATTTGTGAGTACGAACGATGGATACCACGCTTGGTGTTGGGCGAAGGCCTCGCGCGAAAGCAGGCTTCACGTCCCCATGGTGCTTCTGGGATGCGAGCAAGAAGCCCGCAGAATGGGGGGCCGAGGATGGGTCCGAGTCAGATTGATAGTAGCGATTAGAGTGGCTTGAGCCTTGGGGATTCATTCCAGCTGAGCAGGCTCGCAAATGGTGGAGAAAAGACAGTGACTAGGTCAGGCGGACGTGGTGGTGATAGTCTAGTAGTAGTACAGAGAGCGGAGAGGCATATGGAGATGCTCTCCCATGACGATCGAGCATATATATCGGCCCGAATTTCTGGGCCCGGACCAAGAACTAGCTGAGCGACCGCTATTGCCAAGACTCAAGCCTGCTTGTGTGTCTGAGCGGACAAAGTGATTCCCCACGTGTGCAATGTACTGACCAGGTCCCGATTCGGGTGGCGTCTACTATTGCATGTCGTCATGGTCTGACTGCGCATTGCAAAAGGTCCTTGCTCCTCTTCGATGGACAGCTGCAGGACGTGTTGCGCAATAACGAGAGTGTGCTTGCAGTAGGTGCCAGTCACTGGGCGGGAACTTACTAGAACATTGCAGTCTCAGGCAAGTCGACACCTGGGTCTCGGCTCGCCGGCTGTTCCTGAGCGCTCCGCTGTGGCTGTAACTTGCCGCATCTGGCGTAACCACTGACTGTACGTACACAATCCACGCCGTTCGGATTCGACGTTCAACAGTCCAAATCACAAGCAGCAACATGGATGGCGTACAGATTATAGATAGCTGCATCTAGACAGCTGAGATATGTGGTGGAACACAACTGGAGATCAACCAAAGACCAACAACAACTCCCAAGCCCAGCGACAGATGACTTCGTAGGTATTCGCTTGAACGACGGTCTTTTATAACGAACCGCCGCTCATGCCAGACGTATAATAGCGACAGTAGGCTATAAACATCCCGAATGAAGCTTGCATATACCTCTGGGGCCCTGGAGGATCTATGGGCAGGCAATTAGATTCCGTTAGTAGTGCCGCCAATCGCAACCAATGTCATGGGGAACTAGTAGCGCTCTGAGAGGGAAAGCGACGTTTGCAAGTTGACGCGTCCGCCTATGGTCGGACTCCGCATAGGTGACAGATCGCCATGCCTCTTCACGTAGGCGACCGTGTACTTTGTTGCCGCGATATAGGGAAACAAGTAACCATCCACCGGGCGCACTGTAATCAACAAAAGGCCGACGTGTTAAGTCAGCGTGAGAACTGAGCAGTGCGTTTTCAGTGATCATTCACGCTGATGAGCCAGTCAGTCTTCTTCTCTTCTCAGGTTTTGTTCCGGCTCACTTTCACAAATGATTGATGACAGTATTGTACTCATTGAATAGACAGGACGTAGAATCAGCATCATTCGTGGCGACAGGCATCTGACGTTTCCATGCCCGCACCCTCCAGAAGCGCGAGAATACCACCATTGGCGCCTGAACCAGTGCATTGACGAAGTTCGTCTACGGCTCTTGCTATACGTGCAAGGCCGGTTTGTTCGCCTCCCTCTCCCCCTACCTCAAGACCTTTCTCCGCAGCCATCGCGTCAATCTGCTTGAGGCGATCGAGAACAGCGTCGTTCGCGTGTTCCAGGGCATGAACTCCCCTCGCATCGGACTTAGAGTCGCGGGCAGCATACACGGCGCCGACAAGATCTTGCTTCCGTGACAGATAGTTGCTGAGAGATGTGTGAGGTGCTTGACCGAAGACGACATGCTTGCTCTCCAATGGCGGGCCATCCGCGGTCATGGTCGAGTCAGACGCTGAGGGAAGGCATGGCGCTTCATCGTGAACCAGATAGACGGTATTCTTGTCGAGATACCTGTCGAGAGATGCGAGAGCCTCCTTCGCCTTGCGAGCCTTGTCGCGCCTTGAAGGGCGCCCTTTCTTCTTCGGCGTGGGGCGTGTGTCGGCTTGGTCGTTGGGACGAGCGGCTTGAAAGGCCGCCAAGGGATCTTGTCCATCCGGTACAAAGATTTCCCGAGGGAGTGCCGAGGGATTTTGAGCCCGCAAAGACGACCGCGGGAGCACATAGAACACTTGCGCGTCCAGCAAAGTGCTCAATATGAACACGACATATGGTCGTAGACGTGCTAGCAGAGGATCATCTTTCAGTTGCGAAGGCAGAGAAACCATGGCCTGATAGATATCTGTGATGCGAGAAATTAGCTTGTTGAGTGCAGACTAAACGTCAAACGTAACATACCTATAGGAATGTCGACGTTGCTCTCGGAGTAAATTGGTGGTACGGATGTCGTAGGTTGGGTGTTGTGGAAGGTATATAGCGCAAATAGGGCAACTACACGCTCGAGAGGCGCGTGCTTGTCGGACAATCGCTCTGATGACTGTTGTTAGTACGTTGGCATAGGAGGGTGACCCCGACGTACCGATGAAAAGGCGTTTGGTGATACGGAGGAACGCTTGCCTTCCTCTTCCGTCGAAGGTTCGCATGTGCAGCCAACACCAGCCTTGCTCCGTCCACAGCTTCTTGAAGAGTTCGAATGGTTGTGTAGACTGATTGCACTGGGTGGCATAGAGAACAACCAGGTTGGTGAGGTCCCCGCGCAGAGGATCGAC